AAGTATTTTTATTGTTTTAGTATTATGTTCATCACTTACTTGTTTATTAAATTTGTCTCCCATATAACATGCCCAACTTCTTTGAAGAATCTCTTCAAAATAAATAGCTAATTCTCTTCTTTCTTCATTCATTTCTTTCATTAATTTTCCTTCTAATCCATCAAAAAAGCAATCATATTCAGCAAGTCTTTGGTCTTCACTCCATCTACTACATTCAATTTTTCTTTTTACATTAACTCTATGAACTGTATAAAAAATAGGACTCGATGTATTATCAAAATGTGCTTCTTCCCAATATTCTTTTGGTACTTCAATTATATATCCACTAACTGATTCTTCTTTATTACTTTTTGGTTTTTTTGGATAAAGAATATCATGTTGAAGAATAAGTTTTGAATTTTTAAAACATTTTTGTTGTAATTGAATAACTTGTTCATATAAAGATGGTAACGTTAATTGAATTGAAATTGAAACTTCTTTCAAATTTGTATTAATGTAAGAACAACAAGACATTGGTAATTCATTTTCAATCGAATGTTGTTTATTTAATACTAGAATAATATGCTTTTGAATACCATTCCATTTTATAATATTTAGTAATTCAATAAAAACTTTCCCTAATGAAATAAAAGAATTTTCATGTCGTCTTTTAGAAAGACAACGAAGAGCTTTTAGTGCCTTTTCGTATGGATTAAATTGTGTAATTTGCATTTGGTTTCCACAATAAACAAGACATATTTTTGTTTGTGGATGATTAAATTGATTTAATAAAACATATTGTTGTTCAAAAATACTATCAAACAAAATTACTACATCCGCTGAAATTTCTTTTTGTTGAATAATTTCTTTACTTTCAATAATTCCATGCATTTGTTTAGCAGTTTCAATACGGTTTCGAATAAATACTAATTCATCCTGACGAATTTCTTGTTCACTCTTCATAAAGAAAAATAATATTTTTAAGTTCTTTTTTTAAGACTAAAAATAAAATGAAAAAAAAAAAAAACGAAAATAAATGACATTTATCATTTTAATGAGATTGAAAATGATCATTTTTTGATTTAATGAATGAACCAATAACAATAATTGCAACTATAACAACTGCAATACCAATAAACATTCCAATAAATATTTTAAATCCAACAGTAAATTTTTCCAATTGTTTGTTAATTTTCTCAATAGAACTTTGATTAAAAGAAGAATTTAATCTAACAGATTTTTTTAAATTGAAAGAATTATTATTAATTTCTAAATGATTTGGAGAATTTAAGTGACTTTTATTTGATGAATGAATTAAAGGAAGAATTTCAGTTTTATTAACATTTGAAATTAAATGAATTTGTTTTCCATTTCCTGAAGCAATTTTTCCATGTTGAAGTTTAGCTTTATTTTTTAAAGTAATAGGAATAGTATAAACAGTTATTCTTACAGTTCCTTTTTTTATTAAATTAGCACCTACACGAATTAATGCATTAATTGGTTTATTCCCTTTTGGAATATATTCAATAATAGAACCTTTCCATCTTCTACAATTTCTTGTTGTTGTTTGAAGACATTCTTGATTATACATTAAAGTAATAGATGTTTTTACATTTGTATCATGATTACATGTTGATACTCTAAGCATTTTATTTGGTGGAATTATAACTGGAATATAATATCCTGTAATCGGTGCTTTTTTATTACAAAAATCTAGTTTTCTAGTAAATAAACTAACATTTAATATTGGCGTAAAATATGGAAATTCTGTTATTCTTTTATTTAATTGAACAATCGTTGACTTTTCTTTACTTTTTCTTTCTTTGTTTCTGTCTTGATAACTTTTTATGTCTTTGACTTTTCGTTTTATATTTCTTTGATTTATATCTTTCCAAAATTCATTTATAAATTTATCTGTAGCTTCTATACTTTCATCAGCTTTTTTCATTACTCCCCAAATTTCTTTAGCACTCATTTTTGTACGTTTAGATAATACAGTATTTAAAAAAAGTATTCCAACTATTATTAAATGTATCATTTTAATTCTTTTTTATTTGTCTTTTCCTTATTTTTTAGTTTTCTTTTTTTTTTCTCAAAACTAATTTATAAACAAAATTTATAATAAAAAAAATTTTGACTTTTTTTCTATTCTTAAAGATATAATCCATCTGGAACTCCTTCTTTCTTTCTATACATGACTTTTTCTTTTGCTTTCTTAAAGTCTTCTTGATTAACTTTCATTCTTCTTTCTCTTAGTGCTAATAAACCAGCCTCAGTACAAATTGCTTTAATATCAGCTCCAGATAAATCATCTTTTGACATAACAAATTCTTCCATATCAACACCTTCTTCTAATGTCATTTTAGATGTATGAATCTCAAAGATTTTTCTTTTAGTTTTGATATCTGGTAATGGAAATTCAATCTTTCTATCAATTCTTCCTGGTCTGATAAGTGCTGAATCTAATGACTCAATTCTATTTGTGGCAATAATAACTTTTACTTCTCCTCGAGTATCAAATCCATCAAGTTGATTTAATAATTCTAACATTGTTCTTTGAATTTCTTTTTCTCCTCCTGAATGAGCATCATAACGTTTAGTACCAACAGCATCAATTTCATCAATAAAAACAATAGATGGGGCACTGTCTTTAGCTGCTTGGAACAATTCTCTTACTAATTTAGGTCCATCTCCAAGATATTTTTGGATTAACTCTGACCCAACAATACGTAAAAATGTTGCTGAAGTTTCATTTGCAACAGCTTTAGCCAATAATGTTTTTCCTGTTCCCGGTGGTCCATAAAGAATTACTCCTTTTGGTGGTTTAATACCAATTTCTTCATATAATTCTGGATGACTTAATGGAAGTTCAACTGCTTCTTTAATTTCTTGAATTTGTTTTTCTAAACCACCAACATCTGCATAACTTTCTAATGGTGCTTTATCTACTTTCATTACAGAAACATGAGGATCTTCATCATTTTGTAAGACTCCAACAATAGCTTTATTATGGTTATGAGTAAGAACTTGTACTCCTGGTTCTAATAATTCTCTATCTACAATAGAAAGAACTGGAACACAATATTGCATTGTATTTCCACTAGAAATAATAGCATGATGATCATCAATCATTTCATGTAATTTACTAACTTCTAATGGACTTCCTCTAAGTTCTTCAACTTTTTGTCTTGAATCTTTTTCTAATTCTTCTTTTGGTTTTATTTGTTCTTGGTTTTCAATAAAGTCTCTTTGAATTAATAAGATATCTTTTAATCGTTCTAATCGTAACTTTTTAAGATTGCACTGTGTTCTGGGATTAATTTGTGGTAATTTATTATTATTACCATATTCTCTTAATCTTTTCTTTCCAAGAGTCATACTCATCTCTTTTCTCTTTTTTCTTAATTATTTAAAGTTCTTCTTTTTTATTTTCTTTCTTGAAGTTTTTATTTTTTAATAACAAAATATTTATTTTTATTGTTTTTATTGTTTTTTACATAAGGTATTTCAATTATACATCTAATTATAAAAAATATTCAACTCTTCATAACTATAAATAATAATATTTATACTAAAAAATATAATTATAAAATGGTATTTCAAAGATGAAAGGAAAAGAAAAAGAGTGAAAAAAAGGGACGGTACTGAACTAAAATTCAACTAAACCAATAACAAAATGAGTAAAGAAGTAGTTAATCGAGGAGAATCTCAAGCAAATCAATATTTTCCATCTTATGGGTCTGCTTATAGTTATTATCAACACCAAAATAAAATACTTTTACAAAAACGTGAAGATCTTAGACATGAATTATTAATTACTCAAAAACTCTGGTCTGCTTTTCCAAATGCAGACGAATACATCGCTACAAAACGCCCACTTGAAATTAAAACAGAAACTAAACCATCAACTCAACAAACCTCTATTTCTTCTGTAAATTGTAAACCACCAGAAATTAGATTATCAACTGCTAAAGTCTTTAGATATCGTCCATTTTCTTTAATTCTTACAATGAGTTCAACTTGGAGAGAAAATAAAGGATTAACTTATGAACAAGTATTTCAAGCTGTTGCTGCATTAAAATGTAAAAAAGAAGGAGAAGAAGAAGAATTTGCAACATGTGCTCAATGTAGTGGAAAACAAATAATTGAAATTGGAAGTTCATCAGGAGCTTCATACCAACCAACAGTTTCCGATGATAAAACAGAAATGTATATATTTGATCATTGTAAAACAAATTGTTCTTCTTCAAGGGATCATCACAAAAAGAAATTACAAATCGTTATTACATTAGCTGATGAAAAAATTGTAACTGTACCATTTAGTATTCAAGCAAGAGAAAAGAAATCAAGTAAAGTTAAATCAAATACTATTCAACCTCATAAAGTTATTTCTTCAAATTCTCCTTTATCAAATTCTATAAACCAATTTAATATTACGGGACAATCAGACTTTCCTAATCAACAACCACAACAAACAACGTTTCAAACTTATCAAGGAACTTTTAATCAAATTTTACCACAAACAAATAATGACTCAACTGAACGAGTAGCATTATTTGTATTTTCTACTTGTTTACAACCACCTCAAATAATTGAACTAATCAATGACTATAAAAATTATCTATCTAGAATAGATGGTTTTGTAAATTTAAGAGTATCATTCTTAGAAGGTCTTTTCTTTGTTTTTGCTTATTTTATGGATGTTACTCATGCAGAAGAATGTATATCAATAACAAAATTATATTTAAATAATGATATTCGATATCCAAATATTTACAAAAAGAAATTATCAGATGATAACATTGCAATAATTCTCTCTGTTTTTTACAATTGGAGTGAGTCAGGACAATTACCAACATCATTCTTTTCTCAACCATTTTAAATATTGCTTTTTATATTCCATTATTTTTTAAGTTTTATTCTTTTTTTTTATGTTTTAAAAGAATGTTCAAGAACAAATAAAAAGAAAAGTAAAATAAGTAAAATATTGAACTTAGAAATAAATCAAATAAGAAGAAACAATGTTACAATGGGTTTTATTTATAAGTATTATAATTGATGTTTTATTGTGTTGGGTATCTTATTTTAAAAAAGTTGATTCATTAAGAGTAATTACTAAACCAACGTTTTGTTTATTATTATTAATATTTGTTATGACATCAATTGATTTAAATACTCATGTGACATTGTTTTGTATAGGTCTTTTCTTCTCATTTTTAGGAGATTTATTATTATTAATGGATGGTCTTCAATGGTTTGCTTGTGGTTTAGTATCATTTTTAATGTGTCATATTTGTAATATTATTTGTTATTCATTAACACTATACCCTGGAATCACTCTCCCTTCTTTCCTTATTTTATTAATCGGTTGTATTTCTTCAATTCCTTTAATGCAAGGTGCAAAAACTAAAACTCAAAAATTATTTACTCTTCCTGTCCATGTTTATTCTTGTGGTTTAACTGGTGGTTCTTTTTGTGCTTTTGCTACTTTAGGTTCAATTACTGGACAAAACTGGAATTTATTATCTGCTTGGATGACTGCAATTGGATATCTCTTTTTTGATATTAGTGATGCATTTTTAGCTTATCACACTTTTGTTCACAAGACTTTATTTAGTACCATGGCAATTATTACTACTTATCACATTGCTCAATTACTTTTGATGGGTGGTTTAGTTTATAATGAACTGGGAAATGATGTTATTTCTTCATTAATTTAAACAATCTTGTTTTATATATCATTTTATTTTTCATTTAACAAAAAAAAATGTTTTTAATCATTAAAAATCATTCAATTAAATGACGTTTGACATGGCAACGCTATTAAAATGAAAAATTGAATTGATTAAGACATTCATTAAAATATGAGTGATAAAACACTTGTGTTTGTAGGAATTGATTTTGGTACAACTTTTTCTTCTATAGCTTATTATAATCCTTTGAATAAAACTGATTGTACTATTAATGATGAAGGAGGTAATAAACAAATACCATCATGGGTAAGTTTTGCTCAAATGGAAAATAGTGGGGTTATTATTGGGAATGGAGCAAAGAATGAAATTTTTGGTGAATGTGTTTTGTATGATTCTAAAAGAATTATAGGAAGTGACATATCTGATATAAGTGATGAAGATAAAAAGCATTGGCCATTTACAGTAATAGGAAATAACAATGGAAAGGCATGTATGGAGGTATATAATCCTTTTAAGCAAAAAGATGAAATATTTGAACCAGAAGAAATATCAGGAATGGTATTAAAAAATCTTATTCTTATGGCTAAATCAAAATTGGATAATACAGAAATTGGTAATATTGTTGTTACAGTTCCTACAGAATTTGATGATAAAAAAAGAAATGCTACTTTAGCTGCTTGTAAATTAGCAGGAATTGAAAATGTTACACTTGTTAATGAACCAGTAGCTGCTCTTGTAGAATATAAGAGAACTCATAATGACGTTCTTAGTAATGACTCTAAAGTTGTTGTAATAGACTTTGGAGGAGGAACATTAGACATTTGTTGTTGTAAATTACAAGGGAAAGATATTAGTACTGTGTCTGTTGGAGGAGATAAGAATGTAGGAGGAAATGACTTTGATGCAGTGTTGATGGAATTAATAGA